GTGAGGGCAAATGACTGCTGCTGGTTTTAAACAGGTTTTTACAGGGAAACTATTGAGGAAAATAATGTTTTCCTGTTATATTGGTTAGTATAAAATCCATTCCAGATGAAAATACCACTTAAAGTAGCGTTTCACTCCCAGGAGGTTGAGTAGGTTGAGGAGGTGGAAAAGGGCAGGGGCGAGGAACAGCTGTGAATACTTCCTTTTAATTTTCACGTTTAATGAAAAATTAATGCATGTCCCATTACATCAGGTATAATCTGCACTTCTCTGCTCTGTATCCTATTGCAAATCTTCTTTCTTGAGGTAGATTAGCTAGCAGCAAATAACTCAGAAAAATGTTCTCCCTTTATTTTATGAAGTAACTTATTCACTATAGATCTTGTGGTAGCAGGGGTGACATTTAAATCTATGCAACTTGCATCTACAGAGCCACATGGGGATTGTCCTCCCTCCTATCACTAGAGTGCACACAACTCCCAAAGTAAAAATCCACAGAGGAATATTACACTTAACTTGGCAAACTTCTCTTCAAATACATGTCCTCCTTTTTTGCCCTTCTGCACATGCCAGAGGTATGTTTTCATCACTTCTATAAATTACAAGTGACTATAATTTTTTTATACCACCTCGTAAGAACCAGCTTCCATTTCTCCCATATTCAATAGTTTTCCAAAATACAAAAGCTGAACTTACTCAGAACTGATATGCAAGACATTTAACCATAACACTAATAACACTACTGGTTAGCCAGATTTTCATAATGGGAACAAATTGGAAAAATGGGTAATGAATATAAAAAAAACCTCAGCACTGCTTTGCCAACCCTCATTTCTTGTCTTTCCCATTTTACTACTTAAAAGACTCATTGGAGACTCAGAAAATATTGAGGAAAACGTACTTGAGAGTAGTAAAAGATGATAAATTATTACATATATATAATAATCTTATGTGTTACATTTAAAGAGAAAATATGTGACTATAATTCAAAAAACAGTACTAATAATAACTCATATTTCTTGCTTTGTGAAATTTCTACATGAAAAATCATCCCATTGTGTCATTAAAAATGTGCCGTTGTATTAAAAAGGAATACTAGCCATGGAAAATACCTATTGGAAGGCACAACCTCGGGTTCACTGTCTCCTAGAGGAACTTCAGACATTATGTGTAAGTTTTTCTGGAGACACAGAAGTAGCTAACAATTGTTGTGTTGCCATTCAGTAACAGTGAGAGATTAGAAGAGATTAGATGGAGTAGAGGATGAACCTTTTGTTATCAACCTGATTCTAAAAATTCTAGGGACATTGGAGGATTCCCATGGCTCCTCTGGGAAGTGGACTCGGTCTGTAATGAAAATGTATGGAGAGGCAAAGATCATAAGTATTCATTGTAGGTCTCCAACACCTTTAGAAGTTCCTGAAAAGTTCTTACTCCCATCCATGTTGTTAGAAATTGTACCCAACAGTACCTTTAGCGTGGCAGTAACAACAACAGACTTCCTTCTAATGATCTCACAGTACTGAATTTAATTATGGTTTACATAACACTCATACCATTGCCTAAGACTGCAAAGGATGTTGTCTCCATTTTACAAAAGTGTAAACTTCAGCACAGAGAGCTTATGAGAGACAAAAAAAAAAGATGGAAAAAATTTAATGAGAGAAACAACAAATTTTTATGCTCTGTGCCAATGCCAACCTTCTGCTTTTTGGAAGGTGATCCTATTTTTATGGGTTTCAGGAATATCACTCTTGGAAAGAGTCACATAAATGAGTGGGAAACTGAACCACTGGAGAAACAAATGAATTACACACAAAGAATTCTCAAATGTACAAATTAAGCAAACTGAAAAACAGACAAACTTTCTCTAATCCTCTGTGTATAGATGCTACTTCCTCAAACAGATGATGAAAATATTCCAGGCAAGACATAAAATTACTTAGTTGAGAATGCCCATGAAAACAAATCTTTGTTTGGAACAAAGAGAGGTAAAGGTTGATCCTTTGTACCTGTCAATGTCTCTCACCATATCTTTGATACACCAGGTATCCATTACATAGCTTCTAAATGAAAGATTAGGTCAACAGACTGGAAAAGTGTCCTCGGTGTCAGTTCACAGTACAGAGAGCATCACACAGAAGCACATTTTAAATGCATTTTCCCAAACATTTGAAAACAATTAAATTGCATGGTATGAATTGGATGTAGAAAAAAACCCCAACATATCTGCATATCTGAGAAATCTAGCTAGGCAAGGGATTAGGGAAGCAGGACACTGGTGATCTGTTTGTAATTCCATCTCCATGTAGAAACTGTATGTTCTTTCTGCCAAACTTTGCAATAAGAGATACTGCTTTCCACACTTAGTTCCTTATCTTCTTCAGCTGGAATGGTGTTTGAGCTGCCTGCACTGCAACATCCTACTGACTCCAGCAACTTGAGATTGTTATCCTGGATTCTATTAGCTGGAGGTATCAACAGATACCTCCCCACAGACAGCAGTGGAGTTACTAGGATGAGAAAAAGAGTGTCTTTCTGGCCACATCTGCAGCCACCTGCCTGAAAAGCTCAGTGCTAAAATCCTGAAGGGGAAAGAGATAGAAGGACACTACAGGACGAGGCAGGACAGGACAGGATAGCATGGCACAGGACAGATGGGACGGCCAGGCATACCTTGGACAGCTCCTCAGCATCACTTCAGCCGGCGAGCACAGGACGGTGCCACAGGAGCAGCGACGACCTCGGTACAGGTGATATTTAGAGGGGTATGGTAAGCACAGGGCACAGACACAAGTAAAGAGAAGGGTGTCACATTGCTCTTCCCTTCAGGGCTCAGTCACCTGGTGTCTGCTTTCTGTCTCAAATAACTATTGCCCTAAGCAAAGCCAGTTGGCTGGCAATACGCAGGAGACAGCATGACAGGGAAAAGCAAAGAATTGGAGCACTGTGGAAAAATGTGCAGGGAGGCTGGAAACAGACATGTTGAAGGTAAACCAAAGAGGGTGAAAAGATTAAAATGGAAGATAGGAAGAGCTGGATGACAGAAAAGGATAAGGGAGGATGAGGAGGAGGCAAGAAAAGTAAGAAACTATGTAGGAAGGAGTGAACAAGACATTAAGATAGAAGAAAAGAAAGAAAAGGTGTGTAGAAAATGGAGTGATAGAACTGGGATGGTGAAATGGCAAGGAAAATGGGGTAAATATGCAAAAGAGACATGAACAAGAGATGCACAAGCATCTGGAGAGCACAAAATAAAATGAGAACATACAAAAATGTGTAGCAAGAACACACAGAAATGTGGAACCTATATTATGGGTAGTGATACCTGCTTCTGGAACATCACATCAAATCTCCAAACACTACATCTATACCCCAAGACAAATCAATATTTACTGTTTCATCCACCAATCCATTAACAGATGAATGGATACACTTTAACTCCTGGAAAAGTGTTAATACTTTCCATCCTCTTAACAGTGATCATAATCTTGACATCACAGTGATATAAAATGTAGCATTTTAACCTCTTTAATTAGGATGATAGGGGAATTCATTGCTTTAAACTTTGCTTTTGCACCATAAATAAACTGGCTGATGATAGCTAGGAGTCATAAACAATTTTCATCTGGTATCCAAGATGGTGATATGGTTCATCTGCATATTCATCAAGTGGCATGCAAGTAAATAAGAAAGTTTTGCTGATTACTTGCCCTACTTCTTCTACTATAGTGAAATTCATAACGTTAGGATCTTCTAACAGCAAGTCAGATTATCAGAACTTAATTCCAATGAGAATGAAAGGAAATATTCCCACACTCTTATTTAATTATTAATTAAGTATAAAATTTTACATTAAAATGGTAAACTCTTCTGTTGCCAAAGCAGTGTATTAGATACAGAAAAAACAGTTGAAATAAATTATTGCCATTAGAGAGACAGATGAGCCCATTCAAAGAACAGTAAAATTAAGTATTAAGCAGTTACAAAAATAATACTGCCTTCATCTATTTTCCTTGGTTTTAGACATGTAATTTGTCACTGGTCACAGTTTCCTATTTATCATGAGAATTTGTATCCAGAAAGCATTCTACCAGAGCAGGAAGGCAAATAATAGTAATGAAAAACACATGAAAATTACATTCTATCAAATAAGTATTTATATTGATGTTCTGTTATCAAAGCCATTTAAACTCCAAACAAATAAGTCCTTCAATCGATGTAAATAAACTCCTGGGAAAGATTAATAAAACTACACTATTTTATATTTGAATTAATTTGGAATTAATAAATTTTGCTTAAGTTTTGCTTCTTTGAAAATCCAACAGTTTGCTTTCTAATTTGAGTTGGATTAAAGATATAAATAAATATATTCCAGTGCAATTCAGGTGTAATGCTGAAAACTGTGCAGGGTGACATCCCTTTATCCACAGCATGAAGAGAGATTTTAAATAATTTCTGGTCTCTAATTATGCTGCATATCAATTTGAAATCCTAGTACCTAAAATGCTGTGGGTCTTTTATAGTAATATTTCAAAAGAGGAATGCCTTGCTTTTCACGGATTTACAAGTGTTTGGATGAAGTTAGTGTTTTAGCTCAACACAGTTTTTACCAAAGCAGATCATTAAGGGCTCCCTTAACCTACAGTGAGTGATCTGTTGCCTCAGGCAATGCACAGCTCCTTGCTCCACAGTGAACTGACAGCTGTTTGTCCATGAATGCCATTTACTCCCATTGTGTTCAAAAGGAGCTTCTCACTTTTTGTAGCTCTCATAGGTCTCACCACCTAACTCATAAATCTATTCCTCAGGTTGGAACTGCCTGGGAATGGCAGCTGAATTTTGTTGAATTTGGACTACACAGCATCTCCCCTCTACACATCTGCAAAGTCAACAATACAGACTAAGTCACCTCTAGTTATGAGCAAAACCCAAGTGCCTCATTTCTTACACTGATTGCACAGAAGCCAAAAAGATGTCAGATCTCCCTTTGTCTCTAGGCTGACGGATACACTGCAGACATCTAAAGCCAGCAGGAGAATTCTCCACCAGCCAGTTTACAAGGCAGAGGCCTGCAGAAGATATGGTTACTAGGTGTTCTGAATGCTTCCAGAGTGCGTTGCTGCAGGCAACAAAAGTGAGGTACACTTGAGCTGCTTTGGTTTATTTTAGGTAACACTTTGAGCTGTAATTTCCCAAGATTTTATATGTAGCCGTGTTCTTTCTAGAATGTGTCAAAGTCAGGAGCAACCACCCAGGGAAGGCCAGGTGCTAAATGGAAGAACATGAAGCTAAAAGCACTTATTAAGTCATCAGATATGTTTAATTCTCTGTTTTTCAACATTTCTTTTCATGCTACCACTTGTGCTTACTGGAGCAGCTACACAAAACAAGAACTTACTGCCACGCTATGCTGTGAGCTGCAGGCATAACACAGTTTCCACTTCTGCTTGCACTATTGCAAAATCACCTTATATCTTCCACATATTCTGAAAACATAACAAGCTGTAGCAGGATAGTTATCTGGGGACTGAATCTGGGACCATCAGCAATAACTACCTACTCCCAAATGCTATCTGAAAAATCTGCAGATTTTTGTAGGCATGTACCAAAAGACAGACTGAATTTAGATGCAAAATTGACAATTTGAAAATTATATATATTAAAATGCATATGGTTCCGAGCAAGTGTAGAAATATCTATTTACCTAAATGAATTATTTATTAGTAATTGATTTAAAAAAAAAAGACAAGTTATTCCTGTCTCAAGGATGAGTACAATCACAGAAAATTACACCCATTTAACTCTCAAGCACTCCTTGTACAGGCACATCTGTGAGCAGAATATGGCCTACATCACTCAAGTCACAAAAAAAGCATCTCCATTTTTTCTGCAAGTTATGCATAATAGTTACAAACCTTAAAACTCAGTGAAAAGCCATAATGGCTTGAATGTATTTAAGTTATTCCAGTCTCGGGGGATGAAGAATTGCACCAAGAGAATCACCACCCTACATGATGGACATCTTCTCATTATTATAGTTGCCATTACACCTCTGTTCAGGCTTTGCACTCTGAACTTCAGCAACATACTTCTGTCAGACTAAAGTCCAGAAGTTTCTACAAAAAATGAACTTGTCACAAGAAACAAACTATTTGGTATAGAAAAAAGGATGACATTTAACTGGCTGCATAGGCCTTTATTCATTGGTAATGTACAGAAACTGGAGTGCATCCAGTTAACTGTGTGTACAACTACAGTCCATGAGACCACACCTACTGTGCATGGGCAGCATTACTGATCTTCATGTGTGTGGTAAATTCACGTTCCCAGGAAGCACTGCAGCTACTGAATGTGTGCAGACAGATGGTGGATTCCATCACATGACAAGAGAAGGATTGTAATTTGCAACTTTTCATGTCATTGGAAGTACTATAGCTTTAACTATTTGGAAAGCTAAATATCCATTTCTGCCACTGTCATTTTATACTATGTGCTGGTAAATATCCAGAGCATCCCAGTAAGTCAAAGAAGCATGCCTATTTGGCACACCTCTGCTATGCAGGAACTATTGCTAGAGGTAAGTTTTTAACATCCAGTGCTAAATCCTCAGTTATTTTCAGTACATTTACATCTTTCTGCAAATTCAGAAATTCAGAAATTCTGTTCCCCTTCAATGGTGAACACCTGTTGACTGTTTGCATCTACATTCCCAATGTTAACAAACTTTTCTACATTTATTTCAGCAATGGTTGATTTCAGAAGCTTTCTAAGCATGATCACAAAGGGGCTGAAAGCCACCTGACAGCTCTTCAGTCACATGTTAAAGAATCAAGGTATAAAATTATTGTGTACCCTCTTATATTTTTGCCAGTCTTTATTTTATAAAGAACACTGTCTCTGTGAATATTCAACTAGTTTTTATAATCCAGGTATTTCTACTCAATTTATTCATAGATCAGGTTTTTTCTACTTTTAGTCTAATAAGATGATAGACTGATTCTTGTACTGTGCTATTTCTGCACACCATTTATTGATAATGAGTTTTTCTGCTACCTGATTATGTTGATTTTTTCAAAGAAAATGTTATACAAATAATAAAATAGGTATTTCATGGGTTTTCCCTTTCTGTTAGTTCAGTCATAGAGTTCTCTGGTGCTATACAGTATAAATAGTTAATCCTGATATATATTGAGTGCTATTGTGGAATTGCATTTTTAGCTGAGGTGACTTCATTCAATTGTCACATTGGCTTGAGACCTCATAAATACAACCCCCCCATATTTATCTACATATATACATATAAGATGTGGTTTTATGCCTTGGTTTTAATAACTGACAGTGAAAATTAATATTTAATGATGGGGGACAGAAGTTTTCTTCAGTTGTGAGGCCACCTAATTTTTGTCCGTGACAATGAACAGCACTATGATTATAGAATTCCAAAATAATTGATGTGCTCATATGACAGTTAATATTGGATTTTAATATTGTAAAAATAAAATATTTTTGTCACTTTGTGAATTTGGATCATCTAAGAACACTCTGAATATACACATTTTAGTATTTTAGGTATTTTTTCTGTCTATGAATAAGTCACTATCTTGTGTTTTTAAAATTAACTTGCTAAATTTCCTTCTCAAAGTCACACATGCAGTTTGCCTTTTTTCTCACAGAATTTGAAACATGCATTTTTCATTAAAATTCTGTATTTTGAGAAGGAGGTTATTTTAAGTTAGAAAACCATGACATCTGAGTCTTGGATATGCTAAAACTATGTTCAGAAGCAAATATGTGCAGTGGTTACAAAGGAATGGATTAATAAATATCAACAGGCTATTGAAGTCCTAAAAATGTCAGACAAGTATACCAGCCTTTTTCTCACATGCTATTTCATACAGACTGCAGGGCAAACAGGATTTCTGCTGGGACTTCAGCACTCCATTTAGACAAATGGGCTTTACTGTTAATTGCATGACTGCAGTTTCTCATTCAACCTCTGCCTGAGCTCATGCACCAAATGGCTGATATTTAATTAGCTGGTGATAACTTGCCTAGATTCAAGCAAAATATCTCTGACAGGCCATCGCATAATAATTCAGATTTGTGCTTCATTAATATCTGCACAAAGTTGCTTTAAAGAGCCATTGATATTCCAGAAACAGTCTGAGATTTTCACATTCTTTCATTTTCATGCCTTCATGCCTGTAACTAAGATCTTAAATACAGATGTATGCCACTAACCAAGAATCTACCATTATCAGCATCGAAATAAAAGCAGACTGGGCATAATGAATATAGTGGCTCACCGGGCATATAGGGAACACAGACTCTTTTTCCTGCATTCCACACCAGCCAGTCGCCAGGCAGCTTCACTAAAAGGCCACATAACCACTCAGTCTGTTGATAAATCTGACTTAAGGGGAAGCAGCTCATAGAAACCACAGTCCAGCATTACACTTCTGAAGCCACATAGCTGGCAAGCCAAAACTCGCTTAAGGTGAGAAAGCACAGGCATGTATACCTGCAAAATACTACGAAGATGTGTTCATAAACAGTATTTAAAACCACAGATTCAGAAGAATGATCCTGGTATGACTCATGCAAAACATGCAAAATTCAATACCCAAACCAAACACGACAGTGGAAAAGGCAGCAGGAAAGCCAGGGATCATTCAATGTCATCTGCTACTTTAAAGCTGTGACCTATATCTGGCAGGCAAAGACAAGACATTAGAAGACAGAGCTTTACAGCAACAGGAGATTATTAGGCATAGTGGAGAAACAATTGCTTGTTGCAATTACAACTTCAAAGCAGAATTTAACTCTCCCATCTGCACCATGGATCTCTTTCGTATGTTTGAGCTTGTTCCACTATGAATCTCCCAATGCTGTCACATGCCATCTATCCAAGAGTACTATGTGCTGCTCACATGGGATCTACAGATGGGTCAAAGAGGAAAATTTTGCCCCAACATGAAAAAGTAGGGGAAAAAAAATCTTGCACTTGAAGGAAGCTAATGCAAATGTTAATAATGAAAGGGATGCCCTCGATATCATTCAGCTATCCAGTTTTGCTATATCCTACAATGTTTCCCTTTCATAACATTTACAAGGTTCATACATAAGGTACCTTGTTAGGATGCTAGAAAAGATGTTGCCGTGTTGTCTGACATGGGCCTTGTCCTGGGAGCCAGAATTTTCTTTTCTCCAAATAAATATACTAAAGTAGTTGCACCAAAGATTAGAAAGCCTGCTCATGAAATTCTTGTAAAAATGTATTTGTCTTATGACTATAACAATGTTTTAAATGGGTAACTGTAAAACAAGCAATGTCCCCTCATCTTCTCAGGGCAGATTTACTTACTGAATAACATGTGAATTCAATACACAGGGGAAATTCCCGCAACCAGACATTTTCCCGAGAGACTAGGAGGGAAGAAAGAAGAATATATATATACAAACACACACTGCTGCATATCTGAATTCTGATATGGCAAGTAAAGCAGAACAAGAAACATCTGTCAGTTCCACACAGCAAAGCCCAGCTCCCATATGCCACTCTTTCTCCAGAGAGGATTACTGTTTTAATATGCTGAGTTCACATCATCTATTCCACACAGTCAGTGGGCAAACCAAAAACAAAAAATCCATCTATATAATATGAGTTAACCCTGATCCATGCACACGGTCCCAGAGGAGGCCTTTCTGCAGGGAAATTGTGTGTTGACCAGGGGAAAGCAGGTTTTCTTAGGCTACTAAGCAACAGTAAGTGTAATTGCAGCTGCTGCTGCTGCCTCTGGCCAAATTCTGCTTGCTACAAACCCCCCAGAGCCACTTTCTGACCAGGGGATCTGCACAGCCCTGCACTCACCAGCTCTCTTTAAATCTTTGCCATTTTATTTCATAATGCTTTGCAAGTGGGTTTATTCAGTGATATAGCACTGGTCCCTGCTTATGCAGTATGCTTTCTGTTCCCATGGAAGCAGTGAAACCATAGCCATTCCCTGTGTCCAGCACTCACCAAAGCCTGGGAATAAAGGCAGGCTTTGCTGCAGAGGGAAGAGAGCACCTGGATAAAGAGGCGATGACCTGCAGTTACATTTTATGCAGTGCAACTTTGCCAACACAATAGACTTTGCTGGAAAATCAAATCATGTTTCTAATAACTGTGGCAGCTGCTGTCTGCCTGACAAGTACAAAGAAAGGTGTTTTCTTCACCTAAAGAAGCTTCACCAGCAATACTTCTTTAAGGGGGTAAGGTCTTGGGTCAAACTGAGCTATTAAAATTCAGCTTGCAATCACCAGGGACACCACTGATAGCCAAGTTTTCTTTTTGCTGACGGAATAATAAATTGCTCTTAAAAACTTATTCCAGATGAGTCAGAAAAGGCCTATAGTCCACATCTACGAATTTCATCTTTTATTTCCCCAACTTTTTTAAATGTTTCCATGAACTTGATTGGTTTTGCTGAAGCAAAGCACAAACAAAAAATATTATGCTTTATGCTCACATGTTGCCATGTTACAGAGATTGCTTGAAGCTGGGTAAAAAAGCTGTCAATGCTAGTGCAGATCCTGTACATATGACTATCCTGCACATAGATGCATTCATAAAGTCACGCATCACCACACTTTCTTGTAAGACTATCTTGATTGAAAGGGACAGGATGTGTTTTCTGAATTAGTTACCGCCAACACATTTTCCTTTAGGAGATCATATGGATGAGTCACTCATTGCGGTGGGCTGACCCTAGATGGACACCAGGTGTCTACCAAAGTCGCTCTATCACTTTCCTCCTCAGCTGGAGAGGGGACAGAAGATCTAACGAAGGGCTCATGGGTTGAAACAAGAACAGATAGAGATCACTCACCAGTTACTGTCTTGGGCAAAACGGACTAGACTGGAGGAAATTAGTTTAGTTATAACCAATTTATTAATGAATTTACAGCAAAACAAATCAGAGTAGGATAATGAGAAATAAAACCAAATCATGAAACACTTTCACCCCCCCTCCTTCTTTCTGGGCTCAACTTTACTCCTAAATTCTCTACCTCCTCCCCACTCAGTGATGCAGGGGGATGGGTTAGGGTTAGAGGGGTGTTGTTAGCTTCACATTGCCTCTGCCTTTCCTTCCTCCTCACAGGGAGGACTCCTCACACTCTTTCCCTGCTGTATGTGTGGGGTCCCTCCCATGGAAGACAGTTCTCCAAGAACTTCTCCAGTGTGAGTCCTTCCCACAGGCTACAGTTCTTCATTAACCACTCCAGCATGGGTCCCTTCCACAGGGTCACAAGTCCCACCAGGACCCTGTTCCAGCATGGGTTTCCCACAGGGTCACAGCCTCCTTTGGGCATCTACCTGTTCCAGTGTGTGTCCTCCTTCTCCCCCGCCTTCTTCACTGACCTCAGTGTCTCCGAGCTTTCTCTCACATAACGTCACTCCTCTCTCCAGCTGCAATTCCTGTTGCACAGCAACTTTTTTACCTCCTTGACCATGTTATACCAGAGACATTACCATTGTTGTCAATGGACTCAGCCCTAGTCAGTGGTGGATCATCTTGGAGCCGGCTGACATGGGCTCTATCAAACATAGGGGAAGCTTCTGGCATCTTCTCACAGAAGCCACCCCTGTAGTTCCCCTGCTACCAAAATTTTGCTGCACAAAGACAATACACTCATTTACACAAAAGCCATTTCACACTGTTCTATCAGCATTAAGGGAATTTAACAAGGATATAAACGTATGTTATACTCATTTGAAGGCTGCTTATACTTCTTAAGCAATCCAATGAGTTTCTATGTAAATGGGAACCAATCTGTTAATTTC